TCTTGATAATGTATATAATTTATCCAAAAATAACTTAATTGGAAAATTAAATAATCATACAAATTTGTTTTCTATTACTACTGATATCTGGACTGGTAATAATAACATGTCCTTCTGTGCCCTTACTTTTCATTATATAAATAAAAATTGGGTAAATATCAATCTGGTATTGGATATTATTGCGTTTCCTCATCCACACACAGGAGATGAAATTTGCAAAATTGTCTTATCTTCATTAGAAGAATTCAAATTAAAAAATAGAATACTGTCAATAACACATGATAATGGATCTAATGAGGTCAAGGCACTCGAAATGCTGCAAAAATATTATCAATCCCATTAATCAAAAATTTTATATGGACATCGCAGCTTGGCCCACATCATTAATTTATTAGTAAAGGTGGGCCTTAATTGTTTTGAGGAGAAATTGAAAAATATAGAACAGATAGTGGCTAAATTACATAGCTCGTCAAAATTCATGCAATCATACAAAGCAGTAAGTGGGGCAACTAAGATACCTCTTACTGTTAAAACGCGATGGAACAGCAAATACCTAATGATATCCTCTATTAATAAGGTAATAATTATTATTGTATATTTATTATATTCTTTTTCTTAATATTTATCTTTTTAGAATATGAATGCTCCTGATCAAACAAGGTATAATAGGGGCAGATATTACTCCAACTCCTGATGATTGTGCGTTCTTCTTAAAGTTGGAAGAATTTCTATTACCATTTTATCAAATAACCGTAGAAATATCCACCCAATCTCCCACAATTGGGATTGCCCTATTATTTTTTAATGATATAATTCAGAATTTGAATAATTATACTGTGATTATTTCTGATTTATCAATAAAAAAGGCTGCAACTCTTATGTTAAAAAAAGCTAACAAATATAGTGAATATATATTCACCCCATACAATTATGCAGCGACATTACTTGATCCTAGGATCTAAAATTCGATGATTACAAATCAAAAGGAAGACCTCGCAAATAAATATTTTGATATTTTTGAAAAATATATGTCCGAGCCATTTGATGCGTACAAATTTGATAATAATAACAATCCCTCAAATTCTAAAACCATTTCAATATTACAGGGATTGAAAAAAAGGTATATTTGTTCAATCTTAATATATAATCTTTAATATTTTATATTTATCCATATTTAGAAAAAGCGCATCAAATGGAACTAATGATAATAGTGAATTAATGACATATCTCGATGAGCCACTCTCTCCCGAAATTACACATATATTAGATTGGTGGTGAGGAAATTCTGAACTTCCTCATTTAGCAATGATGGCCAGGGACTATCTATGCCAACAGACAACCTCAGTGGCATCGGAAAGAGCTTTTTCCTTGGCCGGAAATATTATGACTAAACTGAGGAACAAGATGGCCCCATCGAAGCTGAAGCATTGTATGGCACTATCCTCCTGGGACATAGATATAATGTCTCTTCGTGATGGGCAATAATTTCTCAGGTGTAACAGTATATGCAATCATATTTTTAATAAACATACATCAATTAGAGAGGTAAGAATAATAATATTAAATATCACTTATTTACAAATTGATTTAAGTAAAATATCTATAAATTTAAATATTTTTGTTAATAGGTTATTTTTAGCTTAATTTATTATTCGTAAAAGTCTAAAATGCAGTCAATTTTAAAACATTAATTGAAATTTCAGATAACTGCAGGCACGTGAATATTAATTTAGAAAATTCTAGCCGTTTAAGAACATTATGTATCATGCATGTTATATAATAATATTATTTATCTCAATAAAATTAGTATTATTTATATATTTGTTTAAATATTAATTAAAGCGGGGCTTGCAGTATGTTCTTTCTACCGATTGGAATATATAATGGAATGGGAATTTTTAACATAATATTATATTTTAAATGTATATTACATTATTTTTTATTTCATTATATTTATAATAATACTATAATTATATTTATTAATTTATTTGTTTAAATATAAATTATAATAAAATATCATCATATTTTGTGATTTTTAAGATGTTTATATTAACCACGAAAATTATAAAAAATATATATTAAAATTTCGAATATCTTGCCTACCATAGAATTTTTAAATTTGACAATTGTCACCTAGATACTAGATACTTGGCGGTTCCTTTGGCAAAATGTATATGGTTTATTTTGACTAATGGCCAATATATCATTAAAAATAAATTACTTAATTAATTTTTCCCAAAGGCAACATCCTAAGCCAGCTATCAGTAAAGTCTCATGGAGGACATTTTTTTAATCTTTACTTAAATGATTTTAAACAAAAAATTTTAACATATACCTTTTAAACAATAATAATTTTTATGAATAGTATATAAATTATAAAAAAATTTAAAAAATAACTAGTTTTTATAAGACATGACTCTAAATCTAAAATAATGTTTTAAATACTATTTTTGAGACTATTATGTTTAGAATTACGAAAATTAATAATGATACAATACTCATATTTTAAGAAATGCAGTTAAAATCATGTTATCTTCTAGTTATATTAGCATCAATAGTTCTTTTTAAAAGTAAATAAAAAAAATTCCTACAATTTATAGTAGGCTGATCTATTTTATATTTAGTTAAGTAAAATGATAGAGTTTATCGTTCGTATGTCGTAATCATAATCAGTTTTGTCAGTCAATATTTTGCTTTGGTAATCCTGACTGAGACTCATCAGGACTACCTAATTATTTTGGATAAAAATTTCCCTGCCCCTTCTAAGCCCTATATTAGCTTACAGAGTCGAGACTCGAGAGGGAACGCTAAATCATATATATTATATACTTTCCTAGTAGATTCAAAATAAAATTAAAAATAAATGGGTTTTTGTCTCTCTTCTGGACTAAACATCATTTATTTCAGAGATTTTATTACCTACAACAATATGATAGATTATATTTTTTTTGCTATATAAGTTTTTGAGATATAAGCATTTTAAAAATCTTAAAGATTCCAATGTGGCACTTTTTTGTACATTTGAGCCCCTATATATGGAAAACCAGGTGTGCTAGCTAGCTAAAATAAAACGACTTTCTCATTATTTTACCTATCCCTTAGTCGTAAAAAACGACTCAGCCTCGAGTGGCTTAATGAGCCGTTTGAGTCGACTCTTGAGATACAATTTTTTCATAGTTAAATATACAGAGTTAGTTGTTGTTTTCGAACATAATCTCTTATTTTACAAATTCTCTTAAAACTAGCATTTATTTTAAAAAAAAAATTTTAAGATTAAAATACCTTTTAAAATTATATCTAGATACAATATCTTTTTTATAATAGTGTACCTAGTAGATAAAGATACCACATTTTTATATTTAGGTGCTTTATCAATTCTGATAATCATCAACAATAAATTTCTATCTATCATATTTATTCAATCTTATAGTAATCCTATTAGGTTGTTAATTCATCCAATCCACTCATATATTAAAAATATTTTTTTATTTTCCATATAAATAACTAAAAAAATAATAATTTAAATTTAACTTAAAAAATAAACAACACTATTGGGAATGGGATTAATGTAGAATGAAATAATAAAGCTTAAGATTAATAAATAAGGTTTATAAATTATATTAGTTTTCCTTATAATCATTTCATTTTAGTATCTACAAAATCACCACAGTAACTGTGATTAAAAAAACATGAATTCTACTCTACCCAAGGTAGAGCTCTGCAAATTCAATTTTTTTGCCTGGCCCATTGCAACTTATTCTAAAACCCTATCTCAGTTATATTTACCTATTGATTTTTAGGCATTACTAGCACCCCTTTCCTTTCTTTAACTTCGAGTCTGAAAATATTTAAATAAAAAGAATTTTAATTTTTATATTAAATTTAATAATATTTAAATAAAAATAATTTTAATTTTTATATTAAATTTAATACTATTTGTCCTCTAGCAATAATTTTGGGAATTTATAAATTAAACGACCCGATATAAATTTTTTTATCCCGAAGCTAACTTGCTTTTGCAGGGCTATATAATAATTAAAAACAACCCCGGGTCTGAATCCCGAGGGTTCGTGCTCATAGCAAGTATTAGCACAAAATTGGGTCGTATATTTTACGACTAAGCAAAAATATTTTTTTTTGGTTTTTAAAAAATATGAAGTTTTCAGAGTAAATATTTTATTTTGAAAATTATTAATGGTAAAATAAAAATTTTAAGTTATTTTATTTCTCATTAAACTACCATCATCTACAATATTAATAAATTTCTTATTCAGTTTGCTATTTATGTTTTAAATAAAAATAATTTGAAGATAATTGTTAAATTTATTTTTAAAAGTTAGATAAAATTTTAAGGAAATTCTTTTTAATAAATAAACCAAGGTATAGGGCCAAAAGCAAAACAAAAGTCACTTTTTGAAAAGCAAAACAAAGATAAAAAATTTGAATATGAGGAGAGGCATTTGCCTCCACATATCCTTTAAAAACGGGATAGGCTCTTAGGAGAAAAATATTTGGAAATAGGGGATAAATTACAGACATGTTACTCCAGTTATTTTTTCTCATATAATTGCTGTCCAGGGGTTAAGTTTATGAAATGAGACTTGATATATATATCAGAGATCTGCAGGCCCGGTCCTATACCCGGTCCAGGGCGTATTTTAATTTTTTTAAATATACCCAGGCCGGGACGTATATTTTAATACCGAATATTTGAAATCGCCCATTGTTAGCTATAAAAATCAAAAATAAATACAATATATTTTAAAAATATCTGGGCCGGCCCTAAAAATTTTTTTTTAAAAAAAGCGGGGCCGGGCTGTAAAAAAATTTTTTAAGAAAAAATCCGGAGCGTACCGTGATACCTCTACAGGTCTCTGATATATATATATATAATATTATTATAGTGGCAAAAAATATTTTTTAGCTATTATAATTATTGAATGATGAATTTTTACTTTATTCTTATTAAATGATTATAATTTACATTTTTTATTATTAAGGATTTGAATTTTGAAAAGCAAAAAATATTTCAAACAAATATATTGGTTTGCACCCCGGGGAGATTGTTGCAGCATCTAGAACAAACATCTTTTTTTGTCTGCGATAATTTAAAAATTTTAGGTAAACTTAAATAGTTTTATATAAATTTAATATTAAAATTAGTTCTGGATGAAGCAGACAGAATATTAGATTTAGGATTTCAAGAAACTATCAATGCCATTATTGAATCTATTCCACAGGAAAGACAAACACTTTTATTTTCAGCAACCCAAACAAAGTAACAAAAAATAACTATTTTCATTTTATATTAATTTTTTTTAATTCAGGAATGTTAAAGACTTAGCTAGATTAAGTTTAAAAGATCCTATCTATGTATCAGCTCACGAAAATTCTTCTGAAAGCACTCCCCCTCAATTGTTTCAAGTTTAGCACAATTATTTTTTTTTATTAAATATCAACATTTCATTTATGATATTTATCAATTAAAATTAGTAGAAAAATTCCCTAGTATCGAACCCTACAAATAATATTTAGGCTTTAATTCAAATGCGAATATAATTTAATAAAGGTTGCTCAAATATTAATCCCATTTTATTACATTTGGTAATCAAAAGAAGTTCTAAACTGGCGGAAGGGCAGGCCAATTCAAAACCAACATGGTCTCTTTTTTAAAATCGGGCATGATCCAGCTAACCTTTTTTTAAATATTTAATTGGTCCTTTGTGTGTTCTGAAATGGACCTTTAGTTTTGATTAAATAAAACTTAGGAATTATTCACAAAGTTATATTTGTATTTTTTTAGCGGTAAGTCTAACTTATTTTATTATGCATTTAAAATTAATTAAATTTTTTTTGAACCCAATTAAAATAATATGTTTAAGAATTTTTTTCTCCTTAAAATAATATATTTTGTTAAATGATAAACAATAGTAAATTTTTTAATGCAGAATAAATTGTGCATTATATGAGTCGTTTTGAAGACTCAAAACTCGGATTATTTTTTCTAAACAAGCAGGCTAAAAACGAGACTGTTATGATTTACCACGTCTAAAAAAAATATAAATAACAAGTAATGTTTATTTAATGTACAAACTTAAAACAAACCAGAATAGGGTGTTATGGCTGTTCAAAGGCTGAATCAGCCTCGGTTAAGCAGAATTAAGTTTCAAAAATAATTCGAACGTTGACATGGCCTAACAATTTACCGCAAATTAGCCATAACCTTTTTCACGTTAATTAGTATTCTAAACTAATAAAAAAATTTGGTTATTTTAGCCGATATCCATCTTTAGTGGGGAGATAGGATAATTTTGACTTTGATTATTCTTTTTTTTGTTGCTAATTTCGATTTTCTTTTTTTTTTGCTAACATTTGGATTTGGATCTCCCTTTTTTCTGCTAATTTTGATTTGATAGGAAGGTAAAGGGGTTGATAGTCATTGGGTTAAGGGGGTATAAAAGTCCCAGCCACTTTACCTTATATATTTTTGTGAATACCTTTTTTCAAATCATAACTACAAATTGCCGATATTTATAATTTTATGTTTTTTGGGGAAAAAAATCAGTTAAAATTTTTAGCGTCTCATCATTTGACGGAAGGAGGGGGGAAGGGGTAATAAGTTGTTTTTCCGGATAATTTTTTTTACGATTAACCAATTTCATTATTTTATACACGAATATTTAAAAAAAAAATTTTTGTAGACTTACTTAGTTTGCGAGCTGCACGAAAAAATTTCCCTCCTCTACTCCTTCATCAAAACACATTTGAAACAAAAAATATTGGTATTTTTAACCAGTTGTAAACAGGTAAATTATTTTATTGCCGAGATTAGACCTATTCAAAAACGAATGGATTACGAATCGAATAATAAATTATTCATATTATATCATTTTAAACGAAGCGAATAATTTATTATTCGTAATTATAAGAATCGAATGTGAGTAATTTTATTATTCTTTTTGAATAGGCCTAATATTAATACTACTTATAGGGGAGGGGGGGGGGATTAGTTTTGAAATGTAATCTTAAGTTTCCTATATTATTTTATTTTAAAAAATAGGTCAAATATATCTACACCCTTTTCTGTCGATTAAAACCTGGTATAAGCGTTTTGGCGTTGTACGGAACGATGAATCAAATGAAAAGGGTCAGTTCTTACGAGCAATTCAGTAATAAGGCATCGGCCCTACTTATAGCTACGGATATCGCGGCTAGAGGATTAGGTTTTATATATGTATATAAAAAATTTGCGATATCGTTACCTTATTATTATTATAAGGTTAAATTGAGTTAGGCCAGTCACAAATGGAATACGGAAAAGAGACTATCGATTACTAAATTCACTCACAGCTGTTGGTGAAATATCATTTTGCTAGCTCAGCTTGTAAAGAATATATGGTTAATTATATTGTAAAATATAAATAAAATCAAACCTCTAAGAATTGGTTATGTTTAAAAATAGACAGAATACCTGTATAAATATTAGATTTTTAATAAGATTTTTCGGGTATCACTAGTGATAGGGTACATTCCGTCAACTGAGTATTATAGTGTTCTTCAGTGACGAAGCGTCATGTTTACTACTAGGGAAACAATCGGAAATGTTATTTTTATTTATTAGTCAAACCATAAAAAAATAAAAGTTATTGCTAAATTTTTTTTTAATTTTTCAATCGAAATCAAAAATAGATTTAAAATTAAAAATTTTTTTTTTTACATTAAACTTATAATTCATTCATTAAACGTTAGCGGAATATCTATTAAATTATTTTGCAAAATTTAAAAATTATTTTTTTCTCTTTTATTTATTAAAAAATAAGCATTTTTCTATATGCTTCCCCAATGCTTATTTTTTAAACGTAAATTACACAATATTATATGGTTTACTCTTTATTTATTAAGAAAAATAAGCAATATTAAATTTGCTTTCCTCATGTATATTTTTTTAACATAGTAAATATAATATTAATGTTTTTAACGTTATAAAAATTAGCAATGCTTCCCTTGCTTCTATGGAAGCTTCCTTCACTGGTGTTCTATATCCACTTTTTTTGGAAATATATTTTTTTCGATAAATTAATCCTTCAGTACTGCTTTTTCTAAATATTTAATAAAAATTCTATAAACATAATTTAGAATAATCCTTTATTTCCATTATTTTGGTGTGACTTCCTATCTATAATATATATAAAAGCCTTGTCACAAAAATAGCGTTACGCTCTCATGTCCCACTTTTCATATCACGCTTTATCAGGCTTGTTAGCCGATCTTTTTAAAACGATCGAATCCCGATCACGATCTTTTCAAAAAAAGAGGATCGAAATCCAGGATCGATCTTTTTTTAAAAAAAGATCGCGATCACGATCTTTTTTTCTATTTAAATTTCTGAAGGAAATTTCTGACCAATGCAAAATTAACTAATATATGTTATAAATTTATTGTAATTGAATAATAATATAATATAACCGATGCAAAATTGACTAATATAAAAATAAATTAAACATGGTAGAAATTTATTGTAATTGAATAATAAATATAACAATTATAATATATTTATTTATAATTAAAATTAGCTTTTAATAATAAATTTTTTTCTAAATTATCATCATTTAAACATCCGCGTCTTTCATTTAGAATATAATATATTTATTTATAATTAAAATTAGCTTTTAATAATAAATTTTTTCTAAATTATCATCATTTAAACATCGGCGTCTTTCATTTAGAACATGTTTAGCTTTACTAAACAAGCGCTCCACAGGAGCGCTTGATGTCAAAGTTGTGTATATTCAATAAATATTTTTTTAAAATTAATATAAGTATTAAAAATATTCATGGAATCATCATTTAAATAAAAATTTTTTTTAATGGAACAAGCATTTTGTACAGTATTTTTCCCCAAAAAAGCATCAATGTCATCCATATATTCATTTGGAGTATCCGCGTATGGTTGTTCCTGCATATTTTCCAAATGGGCAACTAATCTTTCTTTTACCATCATATTTTATGGCAGATTAATATAAGGCCAATTAAGTTTAAATTTAGGGTGAATCATGGCTGCCTAAATGTTACTGTCTTCACACAGTGAAGGAAATCTATATTATGAAATGATTTAATTTATTATTAAATAAGTGTTCTTTTTATTCATATAAATCAAATCAAGTATCTGCAAAACTTAACCCTTTTAAATTTTACAGTCAAGTCTGGCACATCATCTGTTTGGTATTTATTTATATTTGGGTCATATCATAAATATTGATTAAATGTAAACTTAATACTTAATATACAAAGAAATTAACATTGTAATTTATTTACAAAGAATATTAATCAAAATATTAGCTTAAAATTCAAATAATCTAATAAATTTTTAATGTCTTCAAAGGCCCATTAATATTTAACTAAATTTGCCAGATCTTTGCAAATTTTTAATATATTTTGCAGATATCTGATAATATAAAATAACTAGTTGATAACCCGTCAAAAATGACGGGAATATTCTTTTTAATGAAACAATATATCTTATTAGCACCCTAAATACTATCATTATTTACTAGAGCTCCTGTTAGTCAGAATTGCTGTTCACTCCCCACCGCGTGAAGGTAGGAGATGGATTTTAGGGGAGCAAAGATATGAGAAAAAGAATGAACAAAAGAAGGAAGAAATAGAAAAAAAGAGACAAAGATATGAATTATAAGAAAATATAATAAATATTTATACTTCAAGACTTGATGATTATCGGGTTACAAGTTACAACACATATGCATTTGTAGCCATATAAAAATATAATATAATAAAATTTATAATATCAAAAATTTTACCAAAAAAAAAAGATTTAAAATATTTTCAAAATTGAGAGGGATGTAAGCTTGACTTTTATTTGTTAATGTTTTGCCTTGGCTCGTAGTTTGCCGTAAATAACCTGAAATAAAACGTGTAAATTGAAATTATAAAATAGAATTTAATTTACTGTTGTTGGTGATGAAGATGGTTTAGCGATGGCGAAGAAGTTTTCTTTTCTTTGCTCAATGTGGTGTCGTTTTTGAAGATGATGTTGTAATTTCCTTGCTCGTAGTTTGCCGTAAATAACCTGAAATAAAACGTGTAAATTGAAATTATAAAATAGAATTTACTATTGTTGGTGATGAAGATGGTTTAGCGATGGTGAATGGGATATTATTTATTTGAGGTGTATACAATATTTTGAGAAATTTTAATGAAGAATGAAGGAAGCATGATAAAAATGGGTAGCTAATGTCATTTCAAGAGATTCCATTATTGTTGGCATAGTTTGGGGTGTATTGTGAGATTTATTTTTGTTTGTCAAATAGCTAAATATAATTTAAAGAATAGTTATAAGATCTAAATTTTAATAATTACTTTTATGAAATTTTAATGAAGAATGAAGGAAGCATGATAAAAATGGGTAGCTAATGTCATTTCAAGAGATTCCAATATTGTTGGCATAGTTTGGGGTGTATTGTGATAATTATTTTTGTTTATTAAATACTTTTATGAAATTGGTATAGTTTGGGGTCGTATTATGAGCTATATGGTTGTTTTTCAAATAGAGAAATATAATTAAAGTATTTTTATAATTGTATATTGTAATTATTACTTAGGAGTGGATAAATCTTTATTTCATTGGCACCATAATAGATTATTATATAATTGAGGTGTATACTATATTTTGTGTGAATATCTTTTTATTAGAGAGTAAATATCCTTGCATTTTTGTAGGAGCAATCATAACTTTAGTATTTTTTTTGGAAGTACATCTGCTTAAAGCAACATATAGTTGGCCATGAGAAAACACAGGTTCTGGTAGATATAAACCTACATGATCAAATGTTTGACCCTGACTTTTATTAATAGTAATTACAAAAGCTGGGATAATTGGGAATTATCGACGTTTTAATACGAAAGGTAGTTGTGATTCGCTTGGCGCTAAATCTATGCGAGGTATAAAAACTCTGTAACCTTTGTTTGTGCCTGTAATTATTTCAGCATCCAAAAAATATTTATGCATGTCTTTTATTATTAAGCGAGTTCCATTACACAATCCGCGTAAAGGATTCAAATTTCGTAGAAGAATTACTATAGTACCAACCTTTAGGGATAATATGAGGAGGCATGCCCGAAGGTGGATGTTGAAATTGATAAAGTATTTTCCTATTATGAATATAATGAGACTTTTTGGCATTTAAGAACTTATGGATTGAGTCAAATGATACAAAAAATACTTTCAATTCAAAATATATCATTAAAAAAAGCCCTAAAAATGTTGTCAAGAGGATTATATAATCAAGCTCAAGCTGAAACTATAATACTAATTGATTAGATTTAACTTATTATAATAAAGAAATAATATCAAACTGAAAATATAATACTAATTGATTAGACTTAACATATTATAATAAAGAAATAATAGAATAGATATTTATTTTTGGATGTTTAATTATATTAAAGAAAGTCAAAATACATTATAAAGGCTTAATTATTAGTTATTACACTTCCATTCATTATAAATACTTCTTTTGAAAATTAAACTAATATAATAGTAATATTAAAAAGTAAATGCCTAATTATTATATATAAATAACAAAACCAAGATTAACTCTTCATCAAATATTTTATTAATTATACTGTATCTAATAATTCATTTTTTTTATAAAGAATCTGTATCTAGATTCTATTTCTGTAGGACCTGCTCAACTCAGGAATGTAATAAATTAAATTTAAACATGTTGACATTAAGATTATCAAATAAAAAAAAATTTAAAGAATTACTTGTAAATGTCTCTTAAATTTCGAGGATGATATTTTGGAAGATGATATTATCTTCTTACAGAGATGGCATTTGGTGCTGATCATATTATAAGAGTTGCTTTCATCCATTTCACATAAAGTAAAATACTTACGTAATTTCAAAAATCGTAAAAGATTCTCATTCTCACTTATATCTGCTGTTACATCAATAGTAGAAGCAATAGAATCTTCTAAATCTCTAATGGACATTTACATTTACCTATTAAAATAAATATTAATATATTATTATAAATTTATATTAAATAACTTGTAAGAGCTCTAAATCTCGTAAAATTTAGGAAATGAATAAATATATCTATAAAATAAATGGTATGGAAGTTGATAAAATATGAAGATAGATAATTTTTTTTAAAATAATATTTTAATTTAATTTTCAAAATTTTTATTTTATTTATTGCTTTTTAAGTAAAAAATTAATTTTTAAAAAGATCGGGATCGAATTTTAAACAAAATGATCTCTATCTCGATCCTCAATTTAAGTCAGAATCATAAATCTCGTAAAATTGACAAATTTGCGATCGAATCTAGGATCGTCGATCTTTTAACAACTGCACTTTATAATATATATTCAAAAAATCGTTAATTTTGAAAAGTGCCTATGGCCCAATCGGGCAAGAACTTCGCTTACAAATCTAGATGGATTATTGGACTTGGGTTTGAACCCTGGCAAATGTTTTTTTTTCTTAATCTGGTGAAATATTTATTTTTCTTAATCTGACAAAATATAAAATATGTTAATAAAGTATATATTTAGTAATTTTAATTTATGTGTACAATTAAAAAGTCTTTTAAATTAAATTTTTATTTATTTGTATTTTATAATCTAAAAATTTATTATTGCTTGAACCCTTAAGAAGGATCCATTCCACATTGAATTTTATACAAATTTATATCTCTTAGTTAGGTAATTTTTATGCATAAGTAAATATTTGCATCTCTCTTATCTTTTCTGAAATTGGCCTTTCTACATGCATTACATAGTTTTGTAAATTTCTTCATAATTTCATAATTTAATTGTAGAATGTATTTTTCATAACTTATTATAACATTTTTGATTAAATGTATAACTTTTTTGTTTTACTTATATATAATTTGACTATGATTAAAGTTAACCTCCTATTATTTGTTAACTTAGAATATCTTTTTATTTTTTATATTGTAATTTAATAACAATGTCTTAAATTTAAATTTATATTTTGTAACTAAGTAATAAATCATTTGGAAGGGTGGTGGTTTGTTTAAAATTTAAATTAGGATGAACATATTTTTAGCATGGTACTTTAATATGTATTTATGATTTTCATATAAATACTAGGAGCTAACCAGTAGAATGATAGGTAAATCAGATATTTCACCTTCATTTGATCCTAATTTTGAAAAATTTTCCCAATAATATAAATGGCAAAAAAAATATATACATATTAGACAGATTTAATTTTTATAAACCCCTACATCACACCTATTTTTCTGGATTTAAGGAAAAAATAAATTATTCTGATTCCTGGGTTTGGGAAATATTTTTCACAATTAATATGGGCTTGGAAGTAGCTTGGGAAACATTTTTTAAAATTAATATAGTCTTAGATTCCTGAAAATTTTTTAATTTTAAATATGGGTTAGAAATTGGCCTGAAAATTTCTTTTGGAGGCCAGGCCTGATCAAAAACCAAGGCCCATGCAACTTTCATATTCTGATTATATTTTTAAATGCATTGTGACTTTTTATATATTTTATTCCAGTTCTCAACTATCAAAATTATTATGGTCTTTTTGAGAAAATTTTCCCAAATGCGAGGACCTGGCTTATGAATTTTTTTAATATTAGGCATAGGTGTAATATTTAACACAGAATACTTATATGGCCCTCAGGTAAAAGCTAATTTAAATATATTTTTATTCAAAAATAGTATTCATTCTCAGTCTTAATGGGTTGGCATTTGTCTGAAGGGGTATAAAAAATAGATATGGTTTTTAGAGATTTACCTATCTCCCGGGTTGGGAAAAAATTTTGAAAATTACTATGGGTTGGCCAGGCTTGGGAAAATTTTTTTATAAAATTTTTATAGGTTGGGCTGGGTTTGAAAAATATTTTTATAAATTATATTAGGCTGGCCTTGGGGAAAATTTTTCAAAAATATGAGCTAGAATGCTTGATAATTTTTTATTATTAACTATGAGTCATACATTGGCCTAAAAAATATTTTTGCAATCAAAAAACATAGGCCCATAAAAATCTGATTTTGATTGTAATTTTAACATTATGATTATTTAAATATTTTATTTCAGTTCTCAACTACCAAAATTATTATATTCATTGGGCTTGGAAGAATTTTTCAAAATTATTTTGGCTTTGTACTTTGCCTGGGAATTTTTTTAATATTAAATATTAGGTATAAATGATCAGTAATATAGTAAAAGCTTTAAATTTAATTTTACCAAACCATAGTATTTACACTTAGTTTTAATGAATTAAACCTGGCCTGAAGGGGGGGGGATTAAAAGAATAATAATTGGATATTATTTTCAAATAAGAGGTAACAACTATCATAAAAGTAAGAAGAAAATTCTCATTCCCCGTCATTTTTGACAGGCTATCTTCTAATATAAAATAAAAAGGAATATATTTTTTTAAAAGTCAGTTCCACCCTTTGAGCGTTTTATTTATATATAAACTTTAAATAATCATTAAATATTATTAAGATTTTCCCGAGGTTCATTGGGTCGTGCAAATGGATTGTCCCGAAGATGCGAATACATATATTCATAGAGTTGGAAGGACGGCTAGGTTTGGAAAAAAACTATATATTTTTTAAATTAATAAGAATTTTTACCATAGATATTATAAGGATGGCAAATCACTTATTTTTTTAATGCCCAACGAAGAAAAAATGTTTTTGAGCCATCTGAGCGATAAAAAGATTCCTATCAAAAAAACCAATATTAACCCAGAAAGAGTCTTGTCTATCCAGGGTAAAGCGGAATCCGCATGCGCCAAAGACATTAACCTCAAAATGCAAGCTCAAAAAGTTATATTTATTTCCATTTAATAGATTATATAACTGGGAAATAACCCCCCCCCCCTTAAAACACTCATTTAGGAGTTGTTTTTAAAATGTTAAAAAACAAGCTAAAATTTTCAACATATTTATATACAATGATTTTAAAACTTCGAATGGGATTAAATGGACGGACACATTCAAAAAAATTAAAATATTTTGAAAATATAAAATTATAATTTTTAGTTAAACTTTAATTGAATGAGAATCGATAAGCGTTAAATAGGTCATTTTTTTTTATATTTGACCTTTGATATCTTTTAGAATATAAAATCTAGGATGTTAATATTTCAACACTAATTTAGTTACGTGTACCCTAGTTTGTATGCAAAATTCTCTCCAAATCCCAAGAAGTCAGGAGTAGTATTGTTAAACGGATACTCAATATTTTATTAGGAAAAATATTATGCAAGCTTAAGATTTTGATCATAGGTGGCGTGGCACAAAGGTTTTTTGAACATCTATTAACGAAAACTAGAGGCTTGCAAAATATTTTTCTGGCTAAAATATTGAGTTAGCCATTTTTAAAAATCGACTCAAATCGAGCCGTTTAACAACACTAGTCAAGAGAATCGTGATACATTTGAAATGAAATGAACCAGAAGGTCACACGTTAACTTAAGGCAGATGCATTTTCTTCCTGGACTGAGCGCGTCGCATTAAGGATATAGCAATTATGACTTATCTTAGGTATAACGTCCTTGAGACACATCCTGTCCAAGGAAAGCGCCATTTATTATAACAAATTTAATTTTAAAAAGGCCAATATTTTAAAAAAAATATGCCTTATATCTTTTGAAAAATAATTATATTAATATATTTTTTATATCTTTCAGGCAATAAATTTTTGAGAATTATATGATAGAAATAGCATAAATATAGTATGCGACCATTTCTTATAAATAATAACTGTCAATCAAATTAGATGTGTTCACTGCCTAATTATTTTAAGTAAAACATCTTCAAGAATTAATGATCTTGGTTGAGCTTGTTAACTAAAAATAATACAGTTATAGAATAAGAAAATAGCGCTAATGAATATTAAAGTTAGATATCTGGCGTTTTTGGAACGCAGTTTATCCTATGGCCTTCGGACGCATTTTATTCGAGATCTGGCGTCCTGGGATGAGTCCGTCACGTATGGAGGGGGGCACGGTCTATCCTAATAAAATTAAGATCTTATGACCTTCTAAAGATATGTATCTTATATTCAATTTATCATATAATATGTATTAATGTTTTATTTATAGTGTTTCTTGTCATATATCAGAGCGATGTTTCTGATGAAGGATAAAAAATTGTTTGATATCAGCAAACTCGACACAGATAAATATGCGCAGTAAGCTATTATACATTATATATCAACTTTAAGTTTAAATATCAATATTTCATTTACACAACCCGTTTATATATTATTTTTTTGTATTATTATTATTAGTTTTATATGTTCGGAATATAAATTATAAATTTAAATGTAAAGGATGGTTAAGTAGATCCCTAAGAACCTATTTTAATCTTTTGCTTAATTTCAACGTGAGTTAGTATATCGTCGGTTGAGTATTAGAATGCCCTACTTGAGCATTTTTTAAAAATAAGATATTCATATTGGAACAAGAAGTTTATTTAGAATAAGATCAAAAAAATATATAAATTAATAAAAATTAGGCAAAATAATAATGTTTTTAAAATTTTTATATGAGATGTAAAATCTATCAATATATTTACTCATATTGAAAATATCAAATAGAGCACTCTAACAAATTGACGATATATTTTAATTTAATGAAAATAATTTGTAAAAAAAGTTCGCTAGGTATGGCAATTCCTCCAAGAATTCGATTTTTACAAAAAAACAAGAAAAATAATCCCAACCCTGCGAAATCCTCATTATTCATAGGCGAAGCTCCATTTATCGATGACGTTGCGAATAATCATCGTAGGGGACAGAAATACGGTCCAAGCAATAACGCAGTCCAAGTGGACCATCTCGTCTATAATAACGAAAATATTTCGATCATCACGAATAAGTTAGCTAAAGGTTTATCTGCCGAACAGGAAGAAGAAGAAGAAGACGAAGGACAATTTTTTACTCTTAAAAAAGAAACCGATACGGGTACTTGGGCGAATTTAGGTAAAAAAAATCTCGAAAAAGAAAAATCTTTTCCTACCAAAAAGATGATCAATAAACCCCGCTTAAGTCGTTTCGCGGAAGCTAAAAAATTGGCTCGTTTAGCCCTCAAAAAAAATTTGATAGTCAATAAACGAATAACATATGACGATGACGGCAACGAAATAGTTAACAGTACTGTTTTTAAAATTCAAGAATCTTTGGGAAATGGATCGATCGAAAAGTTATTTATATTTTTACCCTTACGTCGAAAACTGTTTCTTTTAACTTTTACTTTTCTTCAGTTCTAATATATTTTTGATGGAACTTTCAAGCAAACAACTTAAGATGCTGCATCCAAAAATGGATTAATGCTAACGAAAAGTGAGGGTTAAAAAAAGCCTTGGACAAAAAAGAAGAAAATTAAACTTAATCACTTTTAATGGTCATAGAATAAAATATTTTTTTTACAGTACTGGACTGGACATTGAAAAAGCCAAGATTCGTTTACGAGAACAAGATAAAATCGATAAGCAAGCTTATAGAGAAAAGATAAAGGCTCAACACAAGGTTAGTGCGCGTTATTATAATTACGGTATAATCTTGAATATATTGGTTATTAGAGTTGGATTTTTAGCAATACATTCCTGCATATAGCCCACTTACAGGGTTCCTCGAGGGACTAGTAATTCTAAACGTTTTAAACCGTAAAATATAAGGGGGTTATTTTTTTCTAAATTCTGATTCTTTTTGTTTCCTTATTTTAAAAAGGATAAGAAACGCAAAGAAAAGGAAGCCAAAAAGTTGAGATCGCAACCTACTAATCACACGCAAGACGACGAATCAGAAGCCGATTATGAAGAAGTATTGGAGGATGATCCTCAATTAGCGGAAATTGTTCATGCATTGCCCGACCCCGATATAATATACGGCAACAAACAAAGTAATGCACGGGTTGAAGATACTCGTGATCTTCACCGTGATGGTCGACGAAATAAAAAGCGTAAAAGGTTATAAATTAAGATGTTATTTTTGAGGCGTATGCTATATGTTATCGACTAAAATTATTATAAATACGAATCCAATAAATTTGCAATTTTTTAATAACTAACAGTTGTTCAGCGTTACTAAGTTTTAGTTGCATCATTAGATCGGTCTCAATGTCAAAATTAATTATTTTCTGAAACACTTGATCTATTTAGATTGTTTTCACCGAAATTTTTTATCAAAAAAATAAGCAAATGTTCGCCAAGAAGTATTTTTTGGTAAAATATATGTTGACATTTAGCATAAAGTCTATTTTTTTTGTTTTACTAAATTTTAAATGGAAATTTTTATTATATTTATATTATACCCACAAAGGTTAATAGTCAAAAATAAAGCGAATTCAAAAAATATTTCCTCGACAAAATTTTCTAAATTTGAAGACACATTAAAGGAGGTCGAAGGTTTTGCTTGCAAATTAATGGAACATTTATAAATAATAATATATAAATATAACAAATTTATTGTGTCAATTATTAATGAATAATTTACGAATTAAAGAAATTATATATTGAATGTGCCGTCTCATTTTTAAGGCTACAATCTTTTAATTCATCAACCGATGCGTTAGATATATTTTGAATACACCCCAGCCCATCAAATACCAATTCGGATTCTAATTATAATAAAATATTGAAAATTTATTGATCAATTATTTATATTAAAAAAGCACCTTGCTTTGTTAGCCCAAGCATACATAACGCGTCAATTTTTAGTTCATCACTGAAAAACAAATCATTGAACGTTTGGTTTATAATTTGTTCCATTTTATTCCATTCACCACTTAGTTTTAGCTTAAAAGAATTTGTACAAAATATTTTGTAATTTTATATTTAAATTTGATTTTTTTTTAAAAATAATTACCTGTACTATAAAGGAAATTTGATTGACGCATTCGAGATTGGAGTGTGTCGTGATAATTTTTAGATCATTCATTACAAATCTTTATCAGGTACACACACACATATAAAGGTGAAAAAAATTTAAATGATCTTACCATGTAAAATATACCTTTTATTTATTATGTTGACAAGTGCATAATCTTGAACGCTGAATATGGGATTTACCAATATTAAAATAGGATTTTTGTGAATTTTTATCAATTTTTCTAAACTTTAAAATTCATTAGACTATTTATTTATATATTGTTATAATAATAACCTTGTTAAAAATGTTGAATCCCATAATGGCTCCTTTTTATTAATGGTTGATGATAAATTAAATATTAAAAAATTCAGTTTAGCAGTTGGAAATAAGCAAGAATTTATGACAGTGACCGAAGAAACTTTTAATCCATAATATGGTAAACGATTATAATTAGGTATGAAAATTACTTTTGACTTTGTAACCCATTTGAATGAAGGTATCAGTTATATCCTGATTAATAAGTTGATTAATTATAATTGGAATTGATTTTATAACATTTTTATGCATCCCAATTTATTCAAAATGGTTAATTTTATAGAAGCAGACGATTTAAATTAATTATATCGTATAATTTTTTAAAAATATATATGTTAAAATATTTAAATATAATTTTATAAGTTTTGAAAACATTTTAAAATTAAATGGAAAAATATTTAATTATATACTTTTGTTTGCTTAGAAAACTTATTCATTTTCTTTCGTCAGCTATGGATTAAAAGGAAATAAAGAATGACAATATACCCATCGATAGTATGAAAATAAAGCAACTTCTAGTAAAATATTAATTTTTTTGTTCTCTATACTTGTTTCATCACTTTTGAAGGTACATTTTAGCATTTAGAGTGACTGAACTAATTTTTAACGGTCTCATAAAATGTATTAATAATGGAAGTAAAAAAGAAAATCATTTATTATAAAAAACATTAAGGAAAAAAATATAAACAAATTCTTTGATATAATATGAATAACATTAAGTAAAGAAAATTTCTTGCAATTTTTTTTCTTTTTACAAAATAGGTTTTTTTGTTATTTCTTTGATATAAAATTCTCCCTCCGTAAATTCTTTGTCTAAGAATATATTTTTACAGCTGCAGCAAGAGCATCCACAAACTTTATGAGTGTCGATTAAATCTTTAGGGAAATCATAGTCATTATCCTCCGTTATATTCTATATTATTTATATAAATAAATATATATAAATCAACTTTATTTATAATTCTAATTTTATTAAGGATTCCATGAACTGGGTTCGCTATTCGACGATACAATCGAAATATGGTTTATTATTCGTAAGAATACGTAATTTGATTCCTATTTTTGTAGAGTGTAGGTATAGTTAGGTTATGGCTAAATATGGGCTATTCAGCTAAATCTACAATCACGTGTCAGAGAAAATTCGTTAATTGAGCTGCTATATTTTTAAGAAAAACCCCGAGGCTAAAGTGATAGTTTTCATCTAAACAGGCCTATTTTTTTAGCCAACTAAAAATTCGGCTAAAATATAGTAATTACCCAACTATAGGTGTATAAATTCAGCAATAAAAATATCGAATAAATTTGTCATTAACGTGCAATAAAACAGTTAAGTAAAAATCTATATATAAAAAATTAATAATATTATGAATATAAGAAATAAACTTTTTTAAAAAAAGGACCTAATAGTATGCACTAGGTTTGAATTAAATTATTTACTCAACCTTCATACACATTTTTCAATATAAAAGCATATACCGATATAACATCTTTATCCTTTTCCGATTCATTTAATAGCGAGAGAGCTTTTTCCTTTTCTTCGTTCATAATTTCATCATCCAATGCCGTTGTATCTGAAATAGGAAGGAGAGGACCTATAAATGGAGAAAGTGGAATATCCTGCACTGGTTCTGGGGCAGGGGTAACTATTTTATCCTCATCTGTTTCGTACGGAGAAACCTTAACAGTTTTTAAAAAAAGAAGTTTTTCCGGTATAAACAAAAACAAATTTATGTAGCCAATGAATAATATAAACCTCATAATAAAGTTTTGAGCTGTCATAAAAAGAATCTGCGTCTGAATAACTATCCACTAAACTTTCTGATTCGTAGTAGCCTTGAATATATAATAAAATATAAAGCATAATGAAAATGAATGATAAACACCTTAAAGTCCCTATTATAAGTGTTGAATAAATTTAAAATCATTATTGATTTGGATTCGTAAGAGCTATTTGATGGAAAATGCAGATCATGTGATCCATGTATTTTTCCTAAAAATACTTAATCGGAAGATATTTTTTAAAAATTTAACCGATACAGATTTCATGCTAATTTTTATACATATATTTTATTTTTTTTATCACATTTTTTAATTTATTTATTTGTCATCTGCAAGTTTTCAACACAGCTGGTGTTATAGATAGTTTTATTGAACTGCTCGTTTGGAGCCGATTAAAAGAACTGCTAATTTAATATTTTAGTCATAAAAATATCACATTAGCCTCTAGGATTTCGCTAATTGATGTCCAGACTTTTATACCATCTATGACCAAAATCTTAAGTTGCGTAATATTTTCCTGGATGAAATGTTGAATTAGCCGTTTTTAAAAATTTAAGACAAGCCGCTTAACAACATTAGATATAGATAGCCCTCATAGGAGAAACTTATTATCACATAAACTCATGGCTTTTATCTTTATAATGAAAAATATATTATAATTTTACTTTCTTTTACATTTCCTTATATTATTTTTTTAATTGATATTTAATTTGTTTTTACTTTTTAATTAAATAAACATTATTTGTTGTATATAAAATTTAATATGAATTATAGTGTGCTATAGACCTGCCATATCTAAAATTGAGTTCTTGGAGACTTTCATGATTAAAATGATAAAAACAAATTTTAAAAGCGGGATTGCGCGGGACAAACGCAATTACATTTTATTAAATGTTGGTGAATTTATTTTATTAAAAATTTATCAATCATTATTTTAACATTTTTTATTTTTATAAAATCAAAATATAAAAAAATTAATAGAAATTTCTGCATATTTATCGAAAGAATATTAATAATATTCTTATCTTTAGAAATAAATTTTACGAATTCTTCACAATTCATGTGAAAATTTTGCATTATCATAAATTCAGCTTCTAATAAATAAAATGAGAGCGTAGAACAATTTTTCGACATTTATTCATTACACTAAATATTCTCTCCAGCCGTATTTGAATGGGCAATCGAAAATACATAATTACAAAAAACTATCCATTTTTTTGATGAGATAATTCAGATAAATTTTCTTTTTTTACAAATTTTGAAAGTATAACAAACTCTACGAACATATCATCGATATTTATATTTATTTGAAAGTTATCAACAATTCTTTCAAAATAATCGAACTTTAATATATCATTTAATTTCATAACTATATTTATACCTAATATAATTGAAATCATGTCTTTTCTCAATATATTGAATAATTGCTTTTATATATTTTTGAGCTACCTCTTTATATTCTTAAATCTGGTCAATGGAACATTTGATTAACATATATTTTACAATTCGTAAAATCCTTGCTAGTATTGAGCCTATATTATTTTAATCATATCCTCCCTAATTGATAATAAGTTTTTCTACATCATTGGATTCAAGTATTATTTTATCTAAAAGTAACCACATACAGTTAGAATCAAGCCTAAATAGGCCTCTGTTAATTGGTCTATAAAAAATGATTTAAAAACGATTGGTGGATGTTTTAAAGAGAAAGTATGCATTTAAAGGTTCAAAGTGTTTATAAATTTTTTATACTCGAGTGAAAGCCAACTTGCAGAGACATTTTTTATGAGATCTGCCCATTCAATATCATATGCATACATATTTTTTTAAAGTTTCTTCACTTTATTTGTTAATCTATTAAATTTATATCATTATAGCACTCATTGTTATTGATTCATTATCAAATGGTAAAATATTATGCCCTTAGTGCATTATGTATCATAGCTAGAGAAAAAAACGGTTTCCTTCCAAAACTTTTATAATCATTTTTTTTGAATAGTCTTAAAATATTTTTTTGCAATTGCAAGGCTTTTAGTGTTTACAAATGAAATTGTGAAGCAATTTTCGAGTCTGTATATTGATTTGTGGTAGAGCTGCAATCTGCTGATAATTAGCTAAAATGCGTGCCATAGAATGATAAACAAAACTTTATGGAAAAATTGCGCATTTTGCTTTATATATTGAATTATAGTAAGGTTATTAAAAAGCCAGATTCGGGTCAATTTAAAACAACACCTAATTAAAATTTTGACCAATATAACATTATGTAAGCCACAAGATTTTGCAAATAGAAGTTCAATTTCTGTCATCAATAAACTCTTTAGGCTTATATAATATATGGCCAAAATCTTAATAGGGTATTTTTAAAAATCGACCCGAATTGAACTTTTAACAATCCTAGTTATCAGGTTTCAGCCAAGTGTTCCCCTTTTCCCAATCTTTAACATTTTTGCAACTTCGATTAATTTTCTTAGAGATTTGTAGGTTTCTATTTTAGAATAAAAAAAAATTATATTTTTAAAAAAAGAGCAAGTTTTATATTTAAATCAGTCAA